CTCCTAATAGCTGCTGTTTCACTTTTCAGAAAACATTTTCCTGGTTATACTCTCTCAAATACTTATATTTCCCACTGTTATAGTATGAGACTGGTGCAACAGCATTATTATTTACTGAAGCCTTGTGCTGTGATTTTGCTCTTCCTAAGTGCTGCAAACCAATTAGCATATTGTTAGCATTTAAACAAAAGATGGTTTTATAGAACACATGTTGATCTCTTAGAAGTGATTGTTAAAATGTATGATTGTTAGTTCCCATCTCAAACCTTGAAATGTCCTCAGTGGTAAACACAGTTAATGTGATCTAAGCAATGCAATCAGATAGGCCTAAAAGATTGCATTCAGCTCTAATATTATTCTTTCAGTGAATCAGGCATTAAAGGGTTAGTTCACCCAAAAATTTAAATTAGCCTGTGTTTTAATCACCCTTAAAGCATCCTAGGTGTATGTGACTTTCTTCTTTCAGATGAATCCAATCTGAGTTATATTAAAAATTGTCCTTGCCCTTCCAAGCCTTTCAATGGGGGTAAGCGGGTGTTGGTTGTCAACAGTTCAGAAAATGTGAAATAAGGTCGCACTTCCATAATAAAGCGTCCCTCACACGACTCCGGGGGGTGAATAAAGGCCTCCTGTAGCGAATTCATGCATTTTTGTAAGATAAATATCCATATTTCAAACGTAATAAACACTTTTTTCTCACTTTCGCTGACTGTGGTACGCAGAAGACGTTCTGGCGGATGACGTAGCATGTATGCGTCGTGCGCGCTCCTCTGAGAAATGGAGCGAAGGAAACTAAGTTTCCTTACTTTAGCAAAGGAAAACCAGTCTCCTCTTGGCTTATATCGAAATCCTCTGACATTTTTCTTTACAAATCCTCGTTTTGTGTTTCTAATTCGTGAACGACTCCAGTCTCCGCGTTCGTCACTAATCACGCAACGTCGACGTCTTAAGTCATCCGCCGGAACGGCTTCCACGTATGAATAGATGTGAGAGGGAGAGCCAGGGTGGATAGTGTGAAGTCTCAAGATGCACACAGATCCACCACCTGCTCCACCACATCAGGGTGGAGCCTCCATTCCCAGGGCCTTAGGATGTCCGCTCCCTGATTCAGGTGCTCAGGGTTGTAAACTGCTTTAAGTGAGAAGAGTTTTCCCTGAGCCCACAGGAGGATCTGGTGTGCCAACTTGTAAAGTGGGCGCGAGTGCAAACCCCCCTGACGGTTGATGTAGGAGACCATCAATGTGTTGTCTGTGCAGACAAGCACATCATAGCCCCTCAGGTCTGGAAGGAAGTGTTTCAGTGCTTGAAACACGGCCAGCATCTTCAGGCAATTTATGTGCCATGTGAGATGGTGGCCTTCCCACAGACCCTGGGCAGAGTGGCCACTCATGACCGCATCCGTCGTTAGCATTACGCGACGACAAGGAGTCCCCAACACCGGGCCTTGTGACAGGAAACAAGGGTTCCTCCATATGTCTAAGGCACGTATGCATCGCAGCATGATCATGCGAAGTGGGTTGCCCCTTGGGGAAAACCCCTCTTGGTCCTGAGCCACCACTGCAAAGGTCCCATGTACAGCAGGCCAAAATATATCACATTGGATGCTGCTGCCATCAGACCCAACCATCTCTGGAACTGTATTACAGTTAGTGACTGGCCTAGCCTCACACTGTTCACAGCTGTGGGAATCAAATAATACAAGCAGGAGACAAACGTGACTGCATCGTGTAAAAGAGAAAAGTGGTTCTCTGTACATGAGAATGCACTCTTCTTGGTGTTCCGCCTTAACTCCAGCTCTTTCATGTGAGCGAGAACGACATCTCAGTGCAGATACGCCATCTGCTCTGATTGAGCTAATATTAACCAATCATTGATGTAATTCAATACGTGGATGCCCTGGAGTCGCAGAGGAGCCAGTATTGCATCCATGCACTGGTGAAAGTGCAGGATGACAGTGCTAAGCCAAAAGGAAGAACCCGAATATTGGAATGTTTTGCCCCCAAATGCAAACCTCAGGAACTTCCTGTGTTGTGGAAGGATGGATACATGGATGTATGCATCCTGTATGGTGACAAACCCTTCCTTGGATCTGAAATGAGTCACGACCTGTTCCAACATCAGCATTTTGAATGTGAATATTTTGACACAATGATTCATCCCAAACATTCCATGATCGTGTGTATCCGCACCCGTTTAGCACGGGCAGGAAAGTACATACGGTTAGTACATATAGTGCTGCCTGTTTTTCTTGCTCGCCATACATTGTTGTGATTGTCTACTGGCACTGACAAACAGACTGACACATAGAGAGCACTTGCTGAAGACACAGAAGCTAACGCTGTTTGTTTCGGATGCGCTTTTAAGCTTCATGGTCTCTGTCACCCTGCTTGTGACGTCTCGTCATTCCATTGGACTGATTTCACACATGCTTCAGGATACGGTCACGCAGAGGCGTTCCCAAACCGTTTCTGATGCAGCCTGAGTTATATACTGATATATATATATATATATACTGTATATATACATGAAGTTTTTCTTTAAAATTAGCATTTCTTTCTGGCTACTATGTATAGGTTTCTATGTAAGTACTGGTACTTCTGAATGGGTTGAGGCTGGGATTTATTGCATTTGAAGTGAAAGTACTTCATAAACATATACTATGTGTGGAGATATATATGAGATATATATGACATATATATATGATTACATGAAAAGTTACTGACTGACTAAATTAAGATAGATAAATAGATATAATTGTCAAAAGAAACAGCAATGTGTGATAATCTGAGGGCTACGTGAACAAGTTCCTTTTAATTGTCTATGGACACTTTTGACCCTGTAGACTTTTAGAAATAATACACTAAACACAATTTTCACTGGTTAATTTAATTTGTCCATTAACAATGTCCAGTAGTGTATCACAGGGAAATTGTTGTTTTTCTGTCATATTTGTTCCACATTTCAAACAATGTATTGTTTAAATGGCATTATTTTATGGTAATGATGTCTTAAATATTTTTAGAATAAATTGGCTATAACTAACATGTATGTATGTATGTATGTGTGGTTTTGTATACTATCCCTTCACAATTTTTGAATATTCTTTTCAAAATTACAGTTTGGAAATTATCCTCAACATACATACATACACACACATAGCATCATTTCCAAAAAAAAAAAAAAAAAAAAAGATATTGCCTTCTTGAATAGCTTCAGTGTAGTTAGATACTTGGGCTATATTATATGGTTGTCTGTAATTTTTCTGTCATTTTTCTGTGATCGACAGCACAAAGTTGTAGTATTTCCTCAGCAACCAGCACGGATCAGCTCCAGGCATGACAAAGCAGATATCGTCCTCTTTTGGAAGGCCAAACAAAGCAGTCTTGCCTTCACCACGAAGCACAAAGCGCCTTCAGGACATGGCGGCGGCAACAACAATACTACAGCGAGAATAAAAGTTATGCCTTCTTTCTTTGCGTGAACATTTGGGCAGCGTTATACAAATCTTCCCACATAGTGATGTAGATATGTGGGGGCGTGTTAGAACGAGCCATTTTAGGTAGGCGTGGCTGACTCTTAACTTTTATAAAGAATAAATTCTTTATATTCAATGTTCATACTCTCTTTGGATTTGAGACTTTAGTCTTTGCAACTTTACAGATCTTCTTTATGTACCAAGAGCTTGTAATACTCCAAAGAGAAAGGAAAAATTTAAATCGCATCATATGACCCCTTTAAGCAGAAGTAACTACAAAATGGTCTATAATTTATGGTGACAGAAAGTTTGGCTATGTGAGACTTGAAACTTGAGACAAAACCTGCTACCAATGTTCATACTCTTTCAAAGGTCAATCTACTGTAAAATGTCTCGCACTGACTAACTGCAGATTACGGGTCTTTTCTCATGCCTGAAGGAAAGGAAATGTCTGAAAAGTTCATTTGACATTTGTCAGAATTCCAGACCCCATTCCTGTAGTAGAGATGTCTTACCATGCCCGTTTCAGTCTCATTAAGAGCTCGTGATGAGAAATGACTTTCATTGGCCGTATAAGTGACTCCAGTCATAACATTATGAGTATGATTAAGAACTCTTGGGTGCACATCAAATAGTAATGAAAATCAAGGGAAAATCACTTGAAACAGATTGGCCAATACATCATGCAGGCTAGGATAATTAGATGCTATTATGTAAACTAGCCATGTGCAAAATAAATCATTATACATCGGTCAGACGGCCCCCTTATCTAAATTTTGTGGGCACTGTTCTTACTTTTAGGGCTGTCAAAAAAAATTTGAATTTCGAATATTCGTCGAATTTAAAATAAAAATTCACCTTCGAATGCAAAAACGTTGCGTTCGAATTTCAGGTGTGCGACCGGCAACCTTATCAGTGGTGCACGAAATGCGACGACGGTGTAAGTGTCATTGCATTTTAATGCTCTTGTTAGCCTATCCAGTTGAACCCACTAGATATGACGCTGCTACGTTGTTCATTCAAAATATTGCAGAAAAAGAGAACACTCAATGAGGGGAAGATGATGTTTACGTCAAAACCGAAACCAAGCCATTCACACAGAACGCATATTTATCGTATTTTTCTAGAGGGACATCTATCACCGTGGCATTCGCTTCTAGCACAAGAGAGCCAGCCGCATGTTTAGAAAGCCATGTAAAATAAATGTAAGTTAAACTTTTAAAAAACATTTCTCAAGACTGTATGGCGGTTTTCCCCATCCCACTGCATCTCAAGTTTTTAAATGAAGAAATTACACTTTGTGATTGGTTTTCGGTCATTTGTATTAAACTATACATACATGCATGGTGCTGTTTTGTTTCTAATTGTTTAAGCAACTTTATTAATTATATAAGTGTGGTAAGGTGGGTGACGTAATCCTTTCTCATTGGCGTGTGGTTGTCATCCACAATGGCCTATTAGAACCTGTCTTTCCGGGTATTTAAGACTGGAGTTATACCACCTGGTGTACGTCACTGCTGGGACCGCACCTATGGAGTGCACTTGTATAGATGGGTGTGGAATGGCCATTTGATGCGTTGTGTTGGGTTGCAGGCTGTCCACTACATGTCAGGTATGTGTCTGCTCGTATTACGTGCTGCTTGTTTAGCATCGGGTGATGTTAACCGGTGCTTATTTACTACTTAGCTGTGAAATTCTTCGGTGAAGGTATCTTCCTGCATGAGCTTCTATGCTTGTTATGAGTTGAGAGCAACGGTACAATTCGTGTGGCACAACGATCCGTTTCGGTAGGTGCAATCCATTTTCTCATGCTCCCAAGAAAAGTGATATTTTAGTAATCGCCCCTTTCTTTTTTTCGCTGACACTGCGCTGGTTAGTCGCGGGAGAAGGCGGAAGTGTCTACATTCGGCGTTAAAGGAGGATGGCGCTGCAGTTTTCTTTTGTTATTGTGTCGTCTTTTGTGCTTCTTTCCTTTTGTTTCTTTTCTTTCTTTTGTTTAATTTAAATAACATTGTGTTATTTTCCTGCTCTATATATTTTGTTTCCTGTTTGTTTGTTGTAAATATAACATTATTATTTCATTTGTTATATTTTATAACAAGATATTATTTCTTTATACATATTGTTTTCTTTTTGGTTTAAGTTGATGGATGTACTTTTATTGTGTTATGGAATGTAAAATTTCCTTTTGTGTTTGTTTTAGGCACTGCAGGGCCCGAGGCTGGGAGGCTAGCTGGTAGTGAGTACTGGTGATGGAACAATCGTGTGGAGTGCAGTGTTGTTTGGATTCACGTTTTACTCTGTGTGAGTGGGTGTGAGTGTGCGTGGGATGTACTAGCGTACAGATAAGATCTTCACTTCAGCTAGCCTGCCTTTGCTGCTGGAAAGCCTGTGCCTGTTTATTTGGTTGTTTTCCTTTGTGAGTATGCTTAAATTATTTCTTTATCTGGTGTAGTATACAGAGCTGCCGATATATGGTGTTTAATTGTGATCCGACACGTGACATTGATGCCCTTGAGTGTTTTAATAATTTGTTGTGACAATTTGAATAAAGCGTTTGTACATTGTTTACACGTCTCTTTGGGTTTTACTTAGCCTACGAACCTGTGTCCCTGATTTGGGTGGTTATTTCCCCGTTTCTTTACGGGGTGGCGTAGTCAGTTTTCTTTTGGTTTAGGGGTGTTCTGACTTAGTCGTACATTAACTCTCCTCCCCCTCCCTCTCTGCATTGCCACATAAGGTTTATAAACATTATTTTAAACATTATGCACTTTTTTCAAAGATAGTCATGTTATTTTATTATGCATTGAAGAAACGTGCATACTATTTTGCTCGATGCGCCCTCTTGTGGCCTCAGGAGAGAAGCCAAAAGCCCTGAGACAAATTGCATCGCTCCCTCAAACAACAAACAACTGTTGTATTATGTATGCATTATAGTCTAGAAGCACTATTAGCTTGTTGACTGTCTTCTAACTAGGGTAATGATCCTACATTATAATTCAAAGATGTACAGTAAAAGGATCTTTAAAAGATTAGCCAAACTTGCACACACTTTCTCACTTTTTCTTAGATTTATCAAAAGTTACAGCATCAAGATAAAACTATTGAAAAAGTCTTGGGTTACTTATGTAACCATGGTTCCCTGAGTAGGGAATGAGACACTGCGTCCTCTAGGGGTCGCTATGGGGAATGCCTCGTCGTGACCCGTGTCTGAAGCATACATTGAAAAACACCAACAACACGTTGGCCGGCAACAGCCCATGACGTCACTACCGGTGCGACTATAGCATAAATAAGCGCAGGGAGAACATGTCATTCACTTCTTCGTCTGAAGCTTGCGTTCGAAGCATGGCAGGAAGCCTAGAGGACGCAGTGTCTCGTTCCCTACTCAGGGAACCATGGTTACATAAGTAACCTGAGACGTTCCCTTTCAAGGGAACTTCGAACTGCGTCCTCTAGGGGTCGCTATGGGGAACGGTATATCCACGCCGCCATGCTGAGGGGAGTGCAGGCCAGAACCATGGCGAGCACTAAGTACCAACTTTACCATTTTCATGGTGAGTTGCCCCTGGGACGTCAGACGGCTGTCCGTGATTTTATCCCCTACGGCCAAAGGCTTAGGCTACATACCCAACTTACCTGTTAGGGCCAGACTCCTGGGCCCGGGGTAGAGCTCCAGGCTTGGAATCAAAATGGATTCCTTTAAGGG